AAGAAGACAGCTCCTAAGATTGTATTATTTAGCTAAAAACACAGCACACTACTTTTCTTTCCCCCTCAGGTTAAAAAAGAAAAAAAAAAAAGCACACTAAATTCTGTTTACAAACAGACAAACATAAATTTTAGCCCACTTCCTTCCTCAAGATCACTGTGTAAGTTTCTCTTTGAGATAAAAATGCATATGACATTGATATTTTACTGGTACAATTAACAGGGATTAGCAGTATTAGTTACCACAGAATTTTAGCAAAATTACTGTCCTGTAATTTCATCAATATCTCTGTAAAATTTGTTGGACAGAAAATGTTTATTCACCTTAATTCCAACACTCATCTCGAGCAATATTTGATTCACGACTTTATTCAAATGCTAAATCATATACATAGACATTGATGTAAAACGCATGGACTGTAAACTCTGTAAAACCACAGAGAGAACTATATTGTGAAGAACAGCTTGAACTTTTATATTTCATGTATGCTTTCTAAAAAAAAGTTTTAAAACATAGCAAATACCAACACTACTGATAAGAAGTGAAGCATAAACATGAGCAATGACAATTTAGAGATGAAAATCTACTTCATGATATAAATTTAAGAAGCATCTCATTTTCAGCCAGCGATGAATCATGATATGAAAGAATAAAATAAGTAAGAGTTGGGTGTGGTGGAGCACACCTTTAATCCTAGCACTTAGAAGCAGAGGCAGACAGTTTGAGGCCAGCCTGTTCTACATAGTGAGTTCTAGGCCATCCAGGGCTGCACCTGTCTCAAAAACATAAATAAATAATACCCTGTCTCAAAAAGACCAATAAATAAATAAATAAATAAATAAATAGGAACAAATGCATAAAGATAATACGTTTTGGGCTTTTCAACTGGAATTTTTCATTTTGAGTGATAGGAAAAAGAACAGACCATCCGTTTAATTTATGCCACGGGTTTTACACATTATTCTGATTCCAAAAGAAAGTCAAGATTTAAGTCTTCTGTTGTCCCCATACAGGACAGTTCACCACTAATGATTTGTGAACAGGCACAGGCACATACAAAATACTGAAATCTTACTTGTAACCTACAACTAAACAAGTCTAATAAGACACTGAAGATCAAAATTTCCAACTTGGATTTTACAATGGAATGGCTCATATGAGCATTTACTAACTTCAGTTTGACCAATAATATTTCATATTCACTGTTATTTTAATAGGAAAGCAAGTTGAATTAAATGGAGATACAGTCTCTTAAAACAAGATTCTGAAGCTGGAGAAAATGGCTCAACAGGTAAGAGCACTGACAGCTCTCGCAGAGGATCTGCATTCGGTTCCCAGCACCCACAGGGTGGCAAACAACTGTCTTGTGACTCCAGTTTCAGGGCAGTCCGACATCCCCTTCTGGTCTCTGTGGGCACTGCACAATATGGATGCACTTACATGCAGGCAAAACACATACACAGTTTTTTTTTTTTAATTAAAAAAAAAAATCTGGCCGGGAGTGGTGGCACACGCCTTTAATCCCAGCACTTGGGAAGCAGAGGCAGGCAGATCTCTGTGAGTTCAAGGCCAGCCTGGTCTACACAGCAAGTTCCAGGTCAGCTGGGGCTACAGGGAGATGCTGTCTCAAAAAGATCAAAAAAAAAAAAAAAAAAATCTAAGCTGTGATTCTCATGTTTATAAACTTACAGAGAAGAGCTAACCAGGCAAGTTTAAAATTCAAGACTGAAGGAAACAAAACAAGCACCTGATTTTTCCTTTGGTGTTGGGGACTGAGCCCAGGGCCTTGGCAAATACTAAGCATACTCTAATATTGTGCTGTATCTCCTACCAGAAACCAAGCAATGCTTTTTCGATAGTAACTGTCTTAACATTTACAAATAAAGGTTTTAGAATATTAATGCGTTTCAAGTAACATCTTTTCTTATCAATAATAAATTAAAATCTCCAACCCAAAATCTAAAGAAGTACATGAAAAACAGAATTTGCTATAGTCAAAATAAACAAATGAGGAATTTTGTTTGGAGGCCATTCACAGATGCGAACATCTAAAATAAAAACCACAGAAGCAGGTACCTATTTTATATGTGCCTAGGAAAAGCCAACCTGCAAAGGGGGAAAAAAAAAAACTTTTTTCTTCTGTCAACATTATTTTGAATTTGAGTAACATTTTACTTATTAAGAATCCTTTTATTTACATTTAATCTAACTCTGAAGGGATTTATTTTTTAAAGCCAGTGTGCAGCATTTATTTTTAGAGTCACACTACTGCTACACTTACTTTTCTTCCAAAGGTTCCAGGGTATGATTTTATTTTTAGTAGTATATAATAACAACATTCACTTCTAACTTTACTGAATTTTATTAACTGCGGCATGACTACTTACTAAATACAATTAGTTTTAATAAATGCTGCTGGTACTATTTGTCTGCCAAATAACTTACATATCACCACTGCTAATTATGCTTCTCCATTAAAAGAAAGTGTGTCCAAATAAAAATATGCAACAGACTCACATCATTAAAAACTGTAAAGATGGCAACAAAGCAACCTGGGTGCTAAGAATCCTGGAAAGGAGATTAGGTAGGGCTGGAGTTTATACCAGGTAAACTTTAAGATTATTTTCAAATGGAATTATTATGTAACCTTAGAGTATCAAGCACGACTACACAGCAGAGAAGACTTGCAGTACAGAAAACAAAAATCACCAGAAATATGATATAAAAACAAAATTTACAACTACTTCAGGTAAGTTTTTTCTTTTCATAAGTTTTTTTCTTTCAAAGGTTAAGACTCCCCAAATAGGTAATTTTAATCATCTGAGGTATTAGAATTGAAAGCATTTCAGCAGACGGAGCTAAAGAAGACCAATATTTTTAAGACTATATAGAAAAATCTTATCTTTGGATATTAAAATTTAAATAATTATAAAAAATTTCCCTTTGTCACTATATCTGGTTTATAAAATTTTAATAGAAACACCTCAGAATTAGTAAATGCGTTGAGAATTAGAAGTTCAGCAGGGTCCTGGAATTAACTGTTAGAATTAGCAGGCATCAGCTCACTTGTTCTAATAGTTTTATTTTCTGGTGCTCAGCATCCAACCCAGGCTTCATGCATGCCATATACACACACTCTCCCTAAACTACCCTCCACATCCTTTCACGAGCTTTCTGAGGGCCAAAATCATAATTATTTTCTTAAATTTGCCAATGTATTATTAGTGGTTTTCTTGTGATTTGCTGGAAGATATAATTTACAAAACCCCCCACAATTTTTAAAAGCAATGTACCTGAGTGTTAACCAAAACTTATAAAAAGCACTGAAGTAGAACTACAATGTACAAAACAGAAATGGTAAATATTTCTCAAATCTTAAATTTCCTTTTTTTCATTTTCTCACAAAATATAAAGCAACACAATTAGATTTATGGTCAGTCTTTCTGTTTGAAAAAGTATGTTTTCTATTAGTTATAAGCTCTTAAGAAACATCAAATTTTGTCAGGTTAATTTTACATTTGATGGATTTTGGCTCAAAAGTCTTCATAGTAGTTTTCCACATTTCTTCAAGTTTTATTCATTTTATAGTATTCACATTAATCAACTATTGAAATCAAGAGGAATAAAAGAAACTCCCAAGTCTATTTCTTTCATTCCCAAGAGATATAAAAAATAAATTTTAAAAAAATTGTGTAATTTGAAATGAAACTCGAATATACTTGAATATATTTATGTGTAATTTTGCCCTTAGATTCCATGTCAGAGAATGGACTGAATAAAAGTAAAAAGAAGTCTAAATGCTTTACTACAGGGGTCATGATGCATACTTCTATTGCATCTTCAGGGGGCTTTGGTTTTATTATACGACATATATGTATGGTTTAATATAGTGACAGAAAAAGCAATTGAGGGGAAAAGAAAAATCACATGTAAACAAACTAATAAATTTTTAAAAAATGCATTCTACAACTAAAGGCCATTTAGGAGACACATCAAAATTCTTAAAAATAAATAAAACTAAAATTTGTAAACAGAGAACCAAATAAAACTATTCTATATGATAAACTATTCAACCTGAGAACATCACTTATTTTCAACTGAATACAATCCTTTATGATAAATAATGGCAAGGGCTTTTCAAGTCAAATTCCATATGGATTCACATGTTCTTGCTTTTCCTTTTCTGAACTTCCCAAATATTTTTAGCTCTCTCTTGCCCTGACAGTGCTGGTGGCAAACAGAAACATCAACAAGAGAAACCACAAACCTTTAAAATCAGTATGAGTAAGAATGTATTTGTTAATTTGGGAAGAGCAAAACAGTAGTCATTTATATATATTATGTGGAAAGAACAGCTGGTCATTTACAGAACTAAATTTAAATAAACAGATGAGACAAATCTACATACAAATACAATCCACACACAGTAAATTACCCTATGTGAGCAGTTCTTTTATATGTGTGTATATATAAGCAGTTCTTATATATGTGAGCAGTTCTTTCCACACACATATATATGCTTATGAACTACAACACTATCAGATCAAGGTCACCAAGCATTCTGTCTCTCCTTTTGCCTTCAATGGGTTAAAAACAAGTTTTAAGATTTGTGATTTATTTGGGGAATCCACTCTAGAATATGAATAGCAAATCTAACCAAACAGAGGAATGTAGGTATTTGGCCTACAATGCATGCATTCAGTGTCTATAATTAGGGTAATTTGAAACACGTTGTAAAAATATTCAAAGCTCCTTCCAAACGTTGAATTCCTTAAGAAAATAAAGGCAGATTTCTTTATTATGGTCATCTCACTCCACATAATTTCTACTAATGACTGAATATTTCTAGTTTCCCTTCTAGGCAACTTCACAATAGTATTTTAACAGTATCTTCACAAAGGATAACTCTTCTAAGTTAAATCCCAAGTGTGTCCCCCCATACTTTAAATGTTAGTTGCTTGTATATACATATTAAGAGGGGGAAAAAAAAACCAATAAAATCAGCTTAAAATAAATTTATTGTACAATACAAAAGTAAGCATACTGCAAAATAAAGGTACATTATTAAATATACAAAGCAAATGAAAGAAAGCTAAACAACACAAATGTTCAATCCAGGCACTAAGATAAAATGCACAACATTTATGCTAAAAAACCAAAGTATTTTAGGAAGAATATGCATTTCAAATGAAATGTTAACGATGGCAAAAAAAAAAAAAACCAGGAAAAAAGAAAAACAAATAAGCTATCATGTAAATGCTTGAATATCAAGAATCAATAATGGCAGGAAAAATTAAACCCAATACTGGGTACTTTTCAACTGAAGGAATCAAAACATTCTCAAAACTGGCAAAGCTTTTCTTTCTTTGCTAATAAGAGTCTGTAGGCATATTCACAGTATCTTACTGTTCTTCCATTACACCTTCCTCTGTGCATCTCTAGATGCTCCTTCTCTAAACACAGCAGTCTATGGAACTCTACTTCGTGTTTAAGTGTGCGCTGTGCATTCAAGCCTTGCCAAACTATTGGAAGTGCCACAAATTAAACTAATCTTGAAATCTATACAAATATGCACACATTATGAAAATTAACTCTCATTTTATAAGTATAACCAACCTCTGAACAAAACAGTGAAATGTAGAGTATGGAGAACAAAAAAAAAAAAAAATCTTTCTTTTTCCAATAAAGGCACTCAGTTACCTGAATCACAAAATGGCCTTGGGAGGAACTAACACAAATGTGACAATGTCCATAGGTATGGTAGTGGCAAGGCTCTGAGAAGCATCCAGTTAGGAAAAGCATCTTAACACTGAAGGGACAGAAAAGGTCTTTCTAAAACCTAACTATGTAATGATTTAAATATTGAATTAGTAATTAAATCAGCCCCAAAGGCTTCTAGCTAGCATTTCTGAGAACTCTTCCTAATTATAACAGATCCCAGTCTCAAAACATGTCTTCAAGATTTTCTGTATCTATACCAGTACCAGTATCTAAATTACTCAGTGAAATCTTTGTTAGACTATATGACTTTTGCAGAATCTGCCCTACATCACATATGCAATTATTCTAAGAAGGCTTTCACCTTCAAATACCTGCTAAAAATTTACAATTTAAAAAATGAATTTATAAAAACAAACTTGAAATTGTGAGGAAAACAAGAAAGGTATATGGATGAAGCAAGAAATGTGAATAAAGCCTACAGGACTTTACAATCACTTTGCCAAGAAAGATGAAAAAAATACTGTGCATAATTATTTGAAATCTGATTATATATTCTTTTGAAAACAAGTTTTGATTCTCAATATTGCATTTTTATAACCAAACAGAAGTATTCATATTTAACAGATATTTTAGCTGCATACTTTAATACCTTCAGACTACATTCATTTCCTAAGCACTCTATAGAACAAAATTTATGAGATGCCATAACTTAATCACAGAAGAAATATTCATCAGCACTTATGAAACTTACAAAATTACTACAGGCTAAAACCCAAATTTACCATTCATACTTAAATATAACAAAAAAAATTACATGAATAATATGAAAATAAAATCCGTTTTGAAGACACTGTCTCTCCTTCTGAGTAACTAACCATCATAACTTTTTAACAACAAAACACTTCATTCTCCCATATCTGCAATTCTTTGGCTGAACTGTTTTAGTAACATAAAATACCCCTTCTATACATGGTAACTCTAACAGAACACAGGAGTTGCAAAAGAAAGAAATCGACACATATTTTAAAGTAGTTGGTAAATTTTAACTACATTTTAAAAATGTAAAGCCAATCTACCACTAACAAATGGCATGTGTGTGTAAACCAAAGCTAATCTACTGCACTTTTAAATAAAATAATTTGGGATTACTTTGCCTTTCAGTTTTGTATTTAGCATGGAAGTACTTTCTATTGACATTACTAATTATCATATCAGTAATAAAAATGGAAAAGAAAAACAAAAATGCAAAAGCTTTGAATTTGTAGGTTTTAGAACTACAAAATGACAATGTATCTGACTATAGTTAAAATTTTAATGTAATTCAAGAAATTAAAATGCATGTAATTAAAAAATAAAGCAAACTTGCTTTATTTTTAAATGCTCTTTTAAAAATTAACAAATTCCTAAATTTATTTTTTTATACAAAGATCACAAGCAAATTTTTTTAAGTTTTATGGCTCCCAGTACTCAAAATTGAGAACAAGAGTCAAATAAATACTTATAGCTTGAAAAAAAAAATACAAAATCAAAACGAAAAGATGTTTCAAAGGTTAAATGAAGAAGCATTCTGAACTAGAACCCATCTCTTTAGTTTTTCTCTCCCAGACTTTCCATTCTATACACTACAGTTGTAGAGATGTCCTCATTTGACTCAGGTGACACTTTTTTCCATACTGTCTCTTTTAAAGCAAGTTCTTGCTGGAGACTTTCATAGTCCAATGGTCCAAAGGAATGCTAGTTGTTCAAGCAACATACATAATTTATTAGTGCACTTGAGTGATGAAAGGTCCAAGCTATAAAATGGTATTTTTCAATGAACATTATTAAGATCCATTAACATTTTCACCCACCTTCACGTTACTCATGAGGATTCCTATGAAAGTTCCTATGCTGTCAGCTTTGGAAAATTCTAAGGTATTATCAGAGGTTACTCTGATTGAAGCTAATAAAAATGTAAGATGGCATTAACAAAATTTTATTCAATATATATGTTATTTACTACTTATAAGTGCTTTATAGTGTAAAAGGTAATTTTACTGTAAATATTTTTCATATGGGATACAAAGGAACTGAAATAAATTTCCATGTAAGTCCTTTGGTCCTGTGAAAAAAACTTAAATCCCAGTTCTTAATACTAGCTCTAAGAGAGAAATGTTTGTGTAATTCTATGAAGCCACACAGATATTTAGCATGTAGTACTTACTATTGTCACTATCAGCATCATATCATTAAACACTTATTCTGGAAAAAATATTTTATCTGCCTTTAAAACTTAAAAGGCTTCATATATATGCATTTCCATTTACCGATTTGATCACAGAAAAGACAAGGAATTAAACTTTAATTCAGAACTAAAACTGACAAATAAAAACAAAACTTTCTTTTTAATTAGAACCATTGTATATAATATCTTCAGTATCCTCTTTAAAACTGTTTTAACAGGATCAATTATAAAACTCTTGCAGAAAACAACAGAAAACCAGCCTTGCCCATAAACAATTTCCAATTTAAATAATAAAACAATATTTAATGTCTATGTATCAGTGACTAAATATGAAAATGTCAGTAATTTACTCATTTGTAATTGGCAAAGACAGAGACCACTAACAGATTTAAGTTTTAACTAAACAGGCGAATCTCAAATTCTGTCTTAAAAAAATAATGGAGAATAATCTAGGAAAGAATTTGGCTTACCCTTTGATCACCACCTTCTCTTCGAGGATCAAGTTTTTTTGCAAAGTGTCTCAAATTATCATAGTTATGGAAATTACACAGAGAAACAAGATCCTGTGAAGTGATACAGAATATGTATAAGAAATTGGCTATTGACTGGCTCTGTTTATTCACATTTTAACCAACTATGCTTCTAGTATCCAGCTTTACTACCACCTCACAGCAACCACCATTGCAGACTATTCAAACAGCACAGTGTATAAGGAAGAGGACTGAAATCAGGATAAGAACACACTTGTTAGCACAGCCTTAAGGCTCAGTCACTCAAACTGCCTTTCATTTTCTATAAAACAGAAATTTTAGCAGGCCACATGGAAGACAACTTACATAAATTACTTTATACACAATACAATGTCATTCTCTAGACTTTGTAAAATATATAAGACTGAAAATTTAAAAAGAATTCTAATTTAAAATGTCTAAAAATACTGCAGTACATAACAGGGGTTCTAGGAAGTAATAAATGTATAAACACAAAAAGACATTCAAAAAAATTAGGAATAACAAAATATTAAATTAAATACAAAAGCAGGGGCTGTAGAGATGGCTGAGTGCTTAAGAGCACAGGCTGCTCTTGCAGAGGCCCCAGGTTCAGTTCCCAGCACCCACAGAGCTAACAACCACCTTAATTCCAGCTCCAGGGGCTCGGATGCCATCTTCTAGCCTCCATGGGCACTGCATGGACAGGGTGCATGTACATACATTTAGGGAAAACTCCTACACACAAAATGATTTTTAAATTAAAAAAATCAGAGAATTTTTTCAAAGAATAATTAAATGATACCTATTTGGTAGAGGTTACTTGAAGCTTCTCTGTAACTACTTCCAATGCTACCTACTGACTGGCCAACAGATAGGCAGAGTAACCCCCACCCCACCGCACCCCCACTTTTTTCCAGTAAGAAAATACACTTACATGACAGAAGTGAATTCCCTTAACACTGTTGCCCATTTTGTCAAGAGGAGGAGACCAGCACATCATGCCCATGACATTGGGGACAACTAACAGAATGCCCCCAGCAACTCCAGATTTTGCAGGAAGACCAACCTGAAAATAATTTAATAAAATGGCATCATGTTAACTATTTTAAAATAAAAAATGTTACATTTAGGAACAGTTTAAAAATTATGGCACATTATAGGGCTGAGGAGTGGCTTAGAAGGTTAAGTCACTTGCCACTGAGCCTGTCAACCTGAGTTCAATCCCTAGGACCCACATGGAGGAAGGAAAGCTATCGTTTAACCTCTGTAAGGGCACCATGGCTTGTGAACACACACACACACACACACACACACACACACACACACACACAGACAAAGAAATCTGAACATTGACTAAACATTTTTATATCATATTTAATGTTAAATGATATTATTAATGATTGTGTATGCAGTAGTTGTTATGTTTTTAAATATAATAGTGGTACCATTATGTTTTGCTATGTATTTAGAATTACATACTGTTTGGAGTATGACAAGATGGGAAAAGTAGGTATGCACACCAATGAACAAGATTTGTCATGCATTCAAGATTACTGAAGATGAATGATAGATAACAATTCAATCCATTTCTCTATTTTACTACTACATCTGAAAATTGCAGGGCCTGTGAGATGGCTCAGTGTGGTAAACACACTTGCTGTGCATAGTAGGCGAGATTTGATTCCCACAAGGTGCTTGACCTACATGCATGGCACTATGCACACACACAGAAAGAAAAACAAAGAAAAACAGAGAGAAAGAAAAGGAAAAAATTTAAAGGCAAATTTCTTTAAAAACAAGAAAATTACAAAAGCAATTTTTAGAAGGGTATTATATGACATAAACAGGATCAAATAAGAAAAGCCTACATATTTCAAAAGTACCAAATATACAAATAGGCTTAAAAAAATATTTTAAAGTTTTAGTTTTAATACACTTTTAAGGCCTTTAAAATATCTATGGTCATAACCAAAGATTTAAAGCTCACCATCTCTGCATTTTCTGTTTTGAGTTTAAGGATGTCTTGAGGCATATAATCACCATAATCCTACAAAGTCTGTACTAATCCTGTGCCATGAAATACTTTAAAAAAATGGAGTGGTGAGGTTTTATATATTAAAAGCCTCCAAGCTTTTAAGGACATCTCATATACTGTTTAACTCTACTCCTTACTAATTTGTAACCAATTAACCTTGAAAACAAGCCTTCCTCCAAAGACAATACACAGCTTTAGAAGCAAATTTCAAATTGCATTTTAAAAAGCACCAGTCTAGACTAGTTCCTTGCAAGAGAAAATTAAGATTAATCAACAATTACTTACATGGAAAGCAAACTGCCCTGAGAAATCATACATGCCACAAGAATGCATCAAACTCAGTGTATTTCGAACTGCCTCAGGACTGAGGACTCTTTCACCAGTTATTGGGCAGAATCCACCATTAGCCAGTGTTGCAGCCATCACACTGGCTGATTCACATGTTACTTCAATGGAGCATAGCTAAAAAAAAGAAAAAAGTACAATTATGAAAATCTAGGTTCATAGTATTTTCAGTATAAAAGTTGGTTGTAAGACAATCCATTTTTTCTGGTATTTCATACAAACCTGAAATATTTCTTCTAAAGGAATGATTGTACTCTAACTTGACATTTCAAAGATTTCAACTGACCAATAGCTAGGCATTTTAAGATTTACTGGGATTATCCACATTTATAATATTTTGGTGACAGAATTAAGCTAGAAAGAGCCAGGCTACCTACCTAAGCACTAAGCTTTGTTCATGCCCTATGTAATCCTCAAATTTATTTAAATACTAATGCTGTCAGTCATGTTATTTTTAATGCCATCTTGACAAATAAGCCATAAAACATTTTTAAGATACAGCAATGTACGCCAACACTGTGACAGCTTCAACATGAGACATGACCACTAAAAAAGGGGGAAATGCTAAAATACCTGACATTTTACCCATAAAAAAAGCTTAGCATTCCAATTTACATAGCAACATGCAAAGGACAAATGGAAATAAAAAATAAAAAAATCTAAGACAGCTCTAGCTTGGGTAACCTAGAAGCTTAAAATACAATGCACTTGTATTTATTGGGTATTTACTATGGCCAATGTGTGCTGTGTATGAATAGATACACACACACACACACACACACATACACACACACACATATGCCATATATATATATAACCAAAAAAAGTCCAAGTAAGATGAAATTTTTGCATTTAAGTATCATCAAAATAAAACAAAGACTGGTCACATAAGGTCAGTGGTAGAACACTTTCCTTGCATATAACAAAGCCCTGAGTTCAAGCCTGATCAGTGCAGTAACATGAGTAACAATAAAAACAATTTACTACATCCAACCCCTAAATCTAAAATAATAAATTCTTCCACATTTTATTTTTAATTAACAGAAATCAAAATTGGGAGGAAAAAGGAGATGATAAGGAAAAGGGAGAAGACTGCCTTCTCAAATTATAACCTTTCTTCATATTCCAAACTCTGTAAGAACTATAAAAAGGTTTTAAAATAGCAAGAAGGAAAATTAATTCACTACACTGAATTAGAAAATTTAGTGTGTTCATCACTTTATAAAAACCAAGTTTCAACCTTGCCCTTTTATATTAAAATTTCTATCCTATTTCTCCAGAACTAAAGAATCTAATTACAATACTGGCCCACAGTGCAAACCCTTCTATATTTAGTCAACAAACACTTTCTTAAAGAAGATTTAAATCTCCAGGATCATTTCCTAATTTATATTTAGCATTAATCAGAATTCTGCTTGTTAAAAAGTGGGAATCTCCTAATCTGGCAACTTCCAACATAAAAATGCTTTCCTGATAACCTGCTGGATATTCACTGAGCTAACTTCAGTCCTTCTCCAAAGAACAACACCTCTATGACTGTCTTCATTTCTGCACTGAATAGAAGCTTCACTAGACATTAGTAGCATTAAACTCTAATAGCCAAAGTAATGTGTATTTCAAACAAAGTATGTGTCAGGAGAAAAATAAAGGTTATGAGTTAAGAGTAAAACTGACACTAAACTTTAAAAGTTTCAAGAAATTTCATATATATCCTTTATGCTATCTTCAGTGTAATAAAGTACATATGCTAAAACCTGAAATGAGGGGTCAATATCTGAGTAAGTCATCATCAGGGTAAGCCTTGAACTTTATACTAATAGTCTGAACTCTCAATTCATCATCTTTTACAATGAGCACATGAAAACTGGTAACCTGCACTTCCATCAAACTTCATTAGCAACCTCTGTATATCTTGTAAGTTTATTAAACAGTTACAATTAAAGCACATTCAAAAGTAAATACAGAGCTGGGAGTGGTGGCACATGCCTTTAATCCCAGCACTCCAGAGGCAGAGACAAAGAGATCTGTGAGATCAAGGTCAGCCTGGTCTACACAGAGTTTCAGGCCAGATGGGGCTACAGGACAGACCCTGTCTCAAAAAACCCAAAACCCAAAGACAAAAAAAGTAAAGTCAGGAAAATACAAAATAAACTAGAAATGATGTAGCCTAAGAATCTTCACATTACAGCTTGATTAGGACACCAATAGGGTTAAATCTGCAAAGCTAAACTGAGGTGAAAATATGTGGGGAGGAGAGGGATCTCCAAGAAGGCTATACTAAGCTAACATCTGTACCACAGCAATTTGCGTGTGCGTGTGTGTGTGTGTGTGTGTGTGTGTGTGTGTGTGTGTGTGTGTGTGTAAGAGGAGGGGTGGGGGAAGGAGTGGAATTCTCTGCCTGACAGAAATACTGAGAGCTACCCTAATTTAGAGGCAAACACTGAAAGAACGTGCTGAACAAATTCTGAGGAACGATTATACCAGCAAAGAGCAGATATAGATTACAGAAGATAGCAAGTCAGCTAAGACTGACACTTTAAAACGCTGAATACAAGCCTTCAGGGGTGGGGGTGGGGGTGTTTCCAAACACAGAATATAAAAACTAAGAAAGCTCAGTTTAAAATTAGAAGGAAACAATTTCTAGAACATAAATGTGTTTTTAGGCAGTTTTCTCTGCTCCATGCTGTCATGTGAATTTTTAGGAGATGTGGAAAGAAGACTGCCTTTTGAGAGATTTTTTTTTGAAAGTCAAGCGCAAATTTTATTTTCTCATGGCCTAAAGTCAAGGTTTCAGAGACATCTACAGTTTTGCAAAATGTGACACATCAATTAGAGTAAATTACCTGGAAATAAAAATCTAGTATTCCAACCATGTCTGTGCCTTCTGGAAAACACTGGGGAAAAAAAAAAAGCAATGAAAAATCAGGCAAACAGAAAAAAATGCACATAAAATGTATCAATATTAAGTTTAAAATCTATAAAATGCTTCATTTTGACAGCAAAAAGCACAGAGCCTATAAAAGCATAAAGAATAGTAAGGCAAATACATCACATTCTACAAATTCCTAAGTTCTAATTTAACTGACAATGATAAACTGATTCATAATTTATAAATCATACTGAACCAGTCTCTATTAACACTAGTTAGACATACTTTTTAAAAAACGTACTAAGCTTAAAGGAGGATTTGCATTAATATAACTAGTCAATTATTTGAATACCTCCAAATAGATACAAATCAATTTAATACTAACATTACTTATTTGTTAACACTAACGAGCACTTTGCGGACTTTTCACTTTTCTCAAAAAGACCAAACAACAACAACAACAACAAAAAAAAACCTTATTGTTGAGCTCTTAGCATCCCATCATTTTATTAAGCAAAATAACTTTAAAATGGAAACAAAAATTTTAAAACCTTCTTTTCTTTTAAGTAATATCCTATCGCAAAATTTCGATCACCACTTTCTCGTTCAGACTGAAACCTAAAAGAAAACAAACAAACAAAAAAAATCACTTAACTTTCTGTAAGTATGATTGGCAACTTTAAATTTTTATAGTATAAAGCAGTGAACTAACAATCAGGACTACTGAAGTCTAGTCTCAATTCTGTCAACAGGACAGGTAGGTAGCCCTGGGTAGTAAGTCTTTGAGAAGTGAAGTTTTCAGTTTTAATTTTCCTCTGCTAAATCTCTAAACTTTATACTCTGTAAACAAGCTAATATTAAAATATCAAAACATGTCATCGCTAAAATATACTGAAAGCTTAAAGAATTCTCTTGTAGAATTCCAAAAATATAATAAACTGAAGGAATTGATGGAAATTTCAATGTGGGAACACAAGAAATGCATCCTGTAGTAATCACTAGATTAACAGTGGCAAATCCTATGTAACAGGAACACTTGCAAAAGTATAGAAGACAGAACTTCATTGAAGAACAGCAAATATTCTGATGCATTTGTGAAATGGTACATAGAGAACAGAAGGGAGGACCATCAAAGCAGGGAAACCTGGGACCCAATTAAAAAAAAAATTATTTATTATTTTTATTTTATGTGTATGAATGTATTGCCTACATGTAGGTAAGTGCACCCATGTCATGCAATGCCCTCAGAGGACAGAAGAGGCCATCAGATCCCCTGGGACTGGAGTTACGGACAGTTGTTAGCTGCCATATGGGTGCTGGGATTCAAACCCAGGTCTTCTGCAAGAACAAGCAGTGTTCTTAACCGCTGAGCCATCTCTCCAGCCCCGGGACCCAATTTTTAAGACTGGTAAATGTCAAAAACTGTAAGGCTCCTGACTGCATACAAAACACAAGCCTGAGGAAAAGTTTTCAATAAGATTCCTTGTCAAATCTGTATCTTAGAAGTTTAACTCTGACATCAGTTTGGGAAAAGGAAAAAGAAAGGGTAGGTGATAGAACAGACACCTGAAATGAGAGCTGAAGAATGTAAGCAGGAGAGACATAGAAGGTAGGATATGACCAAACATGTACGCAGTTGGTTAAATCTTCCAAAGAACATAGAGACTAGATAAGGTAAAGTCTGGCCCAGAGCTTAGATTTTTAACATAGTCTACCGTTCAGGTGATTCAACTGATTTAGAGAGATCCCTAGATGAGTTTGAGAAGAGAATGAACTTCCATACAGATAGATTTTGTATGTAGTACATTTGAGAGATCAACCTGTAAGAGTCCAAAAGCTAAAGGCTACTGACAGAGGAAATAAGGGCAGTAATCTGTATTATTGCAGTGGACACAATACCATTACATTGTGTATTTTAACATTTCTATGGTCATAAAAATAAAATGTAAATGGAAACATTCTTAACCTCTTTCTCCCTCCTTTCTTTCGGATACTAGGGAGTTAATACAGAGTCTCAGGCATGCTAGGCAAGTGGTCTATGGCTGAGCTAAATCCCTAGCCCTCTTTTTACTTTTATTTTGAGACAGAGTTTCACTACATTGCCCAGTTGTAGCCCCATGCAGGCTTTGAATTCAAGATCCTCTTGCCTCAGTCCCCCAAGCAGTTGAAATTACAAACTTGTGTTACCTGGCCCAGATTGGCATGATTAAAAAAAAAAAAAAAAAACCAAGTAAACAACTTAGCCATGAATATTTCATTGAAGGCACAGAAAATTGTCCTGAAATCCTTGGAAAACTTCCTGGAAAAGGTATTTAAGCTAGTGTATCAGCAGAACTGAATAAACACAGCAAAAAAAGGCCAAAAGATTTACTGTTCCTTCAAAGTATTTATATGTTAGTATCATGCTTTATAAAATTAATGATAATGTTCTGTCCTTAAATGTGTTCCTAGTAATGTGGTTCTGAAAGAGGAAGGTAGAGATGACTCAGCAGTGCTTGCTGCTCTTACAGAGACTGGAGTTCGGTTCCCAGTACCCATGTTGCTGCCTTTAACTCTAGCTCCAGGGATCTGCTGCCTTCTTCTGACCTCCATGGGCAGCCATGCACACATGTGCATGCACATACAGACACACGTACACATAAATAGGTTTTTTAAAAAACTTAAATAACATACTTATTCTTAGGATATACAGGCAGGGTGATTTAAAGGTAAAGTATAAATGATTGTTTACAACCTAATTTTAAATGATTCAGCAAAAAAATGCTGTGCGTACATCTGTATTTACATCATCTGTATACAAATACACATACACTTTTAGTGAAAAAATACCAAGCTGGGGAGGTGGCAAAATCAGTAAAGTGCCTGCCATGCAAATACAAAGACCCAAGATCAGACATCAGAACCCACATAATAATACCAGGTATGGCAGTACATGCTTATAATCCCAGTGCTAAGGGGACAGAGACAAACAGAGCCCTGAAAGTCACTGGCCAGTCATCCAACCTAGCTAAATCAATGACTCTTCTGATTTAGGGACAGACCCTGTCTCAAAAATATTAGTAAGTAAAAGTGGAAAACAATCGACACTCAACATTGACCTCTGACACTTCAAATGCATGCACACACAGGAACCCATATCCATAAAAACACACATACATCACACCTACACATATACCACCACACACAATTTAAAAAAACAAAGAGAGGAAAAAAAAACATCAATGAGACAAAACATTCTTCAGACACTCTAAATAAAAGATATCAGATATTCCTTGTTTATTCTTTCAACTTTCTTGAAGACGAAAACTTCCAAAATAAAATATTGGAGGAGTTTTAAAAAAAGCAAGTTAGGGGGCTGGAGAGATGGCTCAGCGGGTAAGAGTACTGGCTGCTCTTGCAGAGGAACCGGGTTCAATTCCCAGCACCCACATAGCAGCTAACAACCATCTGTAACTCCAATCCCAGGGTACCCAACACAGGTGCATCTGCCGACATGCAGGCATTACACTTATACACATAAAAATAAAAATTTATTTTAAGTTAAAAAATGCAAGTTAGTAAGTTACCAAATTGATAAAAAATTGGAGTCCAACTGATTCTAGGATTATCAATATGAAATTTATTAAAGTCATGTTGTTCTTGTCAAGTTATTTAGACATTATTCGTTTTGCTCTAATGAGCAAATTTAATTCACTGAAGTATAAATTCTAGGGCCATAAACAGTGTGTGTGTGTTTTAATCTATTTGTATTTGTGTATATATGAAGTAAAACAGTATTAAAAATAAATCCAAAAATCTAATATTTTGGGTATAAAAACCCAAATTATAAATTAGACTCACGTTGCATTACTGAATCCAACATATTCATTACCAGCCATCTTATTCAAAAACTGCATCACCTATGAACCAAAATTAGTACATTAGTAATCAACGCTAAATATTTGAAAATGTAACGTGAAAATATAATTCTATGTTGTACTTACATAGTCAAACTTCTCAGCATTATTTACTCCTTGCTGCAAAGAAATCAAAAACATACGTATGTTAAAATAGACACTATTAACAGTAAAGTTTTAAGTTAATATAATACAAAAATTCAAACAGCTACCATTATAATTAATGCACTGCATTAGTACTTTTACATCTAGGAAATCCTTCTAAAGTAACAATATTTAAGCTTTTTATGTTAATGCCCATACGTTGAAAAAAAATCAAAAATTACAAAGGGAATGCTTTATTTTAAGTATAAATTTACTCAACCAAAGTAACAGAATACAAGTTACTCTGAAACCCCCGTATCTTTCATGACAGCACATAACTTACTAAATTGTTATTTCATAGTTTTAAAAACTTAAAATAAAGTTCACCTTTAAAAAGAATTAATATATAAATCATGATTTTTCAATTAAGAACAATCTATTTTAAGAAACAAACCCTTTAATCAGTATTGAGTTAGAATAATGAGTTGTATTACAAAACTGACTGATTTCTTAGAATTCTAATATATGCAAACGCTGGCTACATTTTACTAGGATGTAGAGAAAGTTCTACCTCCATTATCTCTCACTTGTTATACAATATTTTGAATTTTAAAAATTCTATCTCATAGTCTCTAAAAAATTAACTACAATTATACCAATTCAGAATGTGGAAGATGTATTGTTTCATTACTTCTAGTTCTGACATGTTATCTACCCCAAAGATCATTAGGAAAAAAAACCTATGTAATGTAGATCGTTCAAGCAACCAAATGGTTTCATTTTACCTCGACGAAGTTTACAAAGCAGTAAGGTGTAGATCTGAAATCAAACGTATTAATTGGTGATATGCACCCAATAGAAACAATACATCTCTAATTTCTAAAACAGGATTCAAATAAAATAATTTGACAACCAGTTTAAAAAGCCAATTTTTAAAAATCTACAGCCTCAAAATTCCAAAGCATTATACTTTAAAATGTTGTTATGGAGCATTTGTTCTAGAGTATCATCTAAATGAATAAAGTCAGGTTCATTTTCCCTCATGAGGTTAGGTTATGACTAGTAAATATGAAACCCTACAAGTAAACTTATTTAAGAAAGTGCAGTCACACATACACAGTAACTGGAAACAACACCAGAGTAGTTCATCAAAATTAGACCTCAACAAAATTTAAATAAAGAATAACATAACAGTTTACAATCCCCTAAGTAAATATTTTCTCTAAAGCATCCTGACATTTTTAAAACTGTCTTATAATATACCAGAATTCAAAATGTAGAAATGTAACTCCAAAGCTGTTCAATGAAAAATAATTAAAAGAAGAAATTACCAACTTCATTGAACTGTTGCAGTTGTCAAAATATTCCATAGATCCTAATGCTGTAAAATATGTAACAACATTTAAGCCACAAAAACCTTTTCAACCTTAGGAAAAAAAAACACAAAAATAAAAAAACGAAAAAGAACAACTTTTGGAAAAGGACGTCAGCATTTGTACTGGGATCCCACATGGATAATTATTGTTCATATAATTATTCAATGTAAAATAAACAAGTTATATTGAACTTTCATTCTAACATAAGGTGTATCCGGTAAAACTGATGTTTTCCTTGTTCAATCAAGTTTAACATACAAAAATAAAAACCATTTCAACTCTAGACTTGGTCACATACTTGATGTATTTTGTGGCTTACTAAATTAAAGCACAAGTAGGGTTGCTTTTAAGAAAATGATATTTATTGCATCATTTACTATATTAGGTATTATTATGTAATTTTTGTTAGGCTACTTGAAATGCCCTAGGCAGATTTACATAAACAGAGCAAAACAAAATACTGATTGTGTAGACCAAAGAGTATCTCTATCCCAAACTTTCCCATCTAAACGTAATGGCAGTTGATTAATGTTTCTTATTATCTACCCTGGAAATGCTATTTAACTAAAATCACTAAGATATAGTTGCCCCTCTAGTTGTTCATGTAATCAGGAATACATCAGATCTAAGATGTCACTTTAATTTTGAAATGTTATAGTAAAAAGTTTCTTTGCAAAGCTCTCAGGGAAAAAATACATATATACCTAACAAAATTAATTAGAGTAATGTGTTCTCTCCAAGAAAACAAAGACTGAAAAGGAAAGCAACTAGCTATGGTGTAGTAAGGAGGATCAAAGGCTGGAGGAACAAAAACTATAACTGAAACTGGGAATGGGTAAAGAGGCTTGTTATTCTATGCTTATTTTGTTCATGTCTGAATTTCATAGTAAAATGTTCAAAGAAAATGTTAATTCATTACTGATCTTTCACAATAATTTGCGAGATGATACTGAGCATTTTCTTTCCACTTCAATTCTGATTTTTAGTGTATATACCAATTGATACTTTCTATTGATAGATTATGATAGCAATTCTCTTCCTATTTTAATCTTTTACAAAGGTTTGAATTAAGAAATCTTGCTTACAGCAGATAAATAAAATTGGTTTTGTTACAGCAATATTACCCAGTTCTTTATACATAGTTGGACCTCTTCATAGGCCAAATCATATAGTAATCAAGTATTAACTAACAATTTGCTTAAGGCTCATTTCAATTTCGTTGAAACCAAAGAATGAGAAACAACCTAGACTACAGCAGGCCTTGATTTAATTCACAGGGTCAATACCATTAATTTCAGTCCTTTAAAATGCTGTCTTGTTAGTATCTGAAAAGTTCTAAAACCTAAAGAAGTATGGTATGGTAAAATCGGAACACAGAAGTATCCCTTTGTTTTGGAAAATGGGAGACTATCAAAAACTAAAAGCAAATAATTTGAAGATGGGCACACACAGAAACACAACTAGAAACTGGTGTTCTTAAACTATCAATGCTCCTGTCCTTTATCCATCCTTCATGTACCCAGGGATGCATTTTTCTCAATTTGAAGATCACAATACATGCATTGTTACAAACTCTGTTATTTTAATCCTAAAAATTGTTTACAGCCATTTTTAGTAAATATAAAAAGAGAAACTGAACTGGACAAAATATTCAAGAAAATTTCTCTTTTCTTTCCTTTTTTTTTGAGACTAGGTCTCCCTGTAGCTCCGGCTAACCTGGAACTCACTATGTAGATCAAGCTGACCTTGATTTCATAAAGATCTACCTGCCTTTGCCCCTGCCTCTCAAGTATGGGAATTAAAGGCAGTGGCATCATGTCCAGCTCAAGAAAATTTCTAATCCATTACCAACTGATTTTTAAAAGCAAACCATGTGGTTTGTTTGAGACCGGAAGACATTAATATTAAAAAATTATAAAAATGTATTTCTTACAAACATGCCTATTAAGTTACAGAATTTATACCTCTTGAAGAAAAGCATAAATGAAAATATAATAAAGAAGCACTGAGTTTTAACAATACTTTATTAATGTAGGGGCTAGGGATGTGGTTCAGTGGAGAATACTTGAACTCACAGAAATCTGACCATCCCTCATCCCTACTTCCCAAATGCTGAGATTTGAAAGTGTGTATCATCATACCTAGCTAGTTACAGTATTTTTATAGATTAACTTTAAAAATAAAAGAATAAAACTGAATTCAGTTGGTAATAAATCTACCTTTCATTAAGGAAAAAGCAAACAACAAAAAAAGGGACAATAAAAGCCCAAAGTAAATAAATCACTATACTCTCGTGTCTTAAATGTAACAAGCCCAGGGCATCAAGCACTACAACTCAGAGTCACAAACCACCTATGAATGTGATTATAAGCAAATCTAACAGATTATGGCTAATGACCAAATGGAGCACAGGATAAACATTAAACTTCTCTTGAGTTTTCATAGAGTAATAAAAAACTGTTTAGAAAGAAAAATACTTCAGTTTTTTTAAAAAAATTTATTTATTATTTTTCTTTTATGTGCTTTGCCTGCATGTATGTAAGTGCTTTGCCTGCATGTTTGTGCACGCAATGCCCTGCAGAAGTCAGAAGAGGGTGTTGGATCCCCAGAAACTGGAGTTATAGTCAGTTGTTAACTGGCATGTGGGTGCTAAGAAGCAAACCCAGGTCCTCTGGAAGAAGAGCAAGTGATTTCAACCACTAAGACATCTCTCTAGACCCAAGACTCAATTTGTTTAAGTTAAAAAATACTGCTTTCTAAAACAGGGGAAAGAAAAACAAAACACCCAAACTTCTTCAAATGAAAAAACTTAGAAACCACCACTAGAAGACATAAACACAGAAAAGTCAAGTGAGATTTTTTATAGCACGCTGCCCTCAGTTTCCCACCCTAACAGTCAAGTCAGAGTTTAACATTTAAGCTAAAACTAAAGTTGCTAATCACTGAAAAAAACAATGTGAATAATGCCATTTCATCTCTATATAACGATTCCTCTTTTTATTCCCTTCTTTAAATCAAGCAATCACACATTATCATCATGAATTAAAGCAGACTGTAACAAAAAGTATTCCCTTAAAATTAGTAGCTACCATAGAGAAAAAAGCGAAAAGTATAGAAACCTTTATGTCCTTTTAATTATGTGCATTTTAAGTGTAAAATGACATTTGTTTTTAAAAAGGTATTTACCTATATAGCTTTGATTAAAATTTTAAATATTGGAGTTTTCCTATAAGCTTAGTGGTTAAGAATTTATGCAACAGGTTCCTTCTGTCCAAATCCTCCTTTTTTCCACAATCTGCTAATCCTTTTGAACATTTGCTCTGCCTCTTCCCCCATTTCCTGAGGATCACCACCAATCCTACAAGGAAAAAATATCAATACTACAAAATTATGAAATAAAGAGTCTTACTAAAGACTCTACTTAATTTTCCACTCTTTTTTTTCCAGGAGGGAATAACATGAGATTTGCTGCAATGGCACCAGAATAAAGCCCTGATCTTTGAAATGGGAAAAAAAGTCACAAATAGTCTTAAGGTCAGTGAAAATAGATAAAAAGCATGGCTACATCTACCAGCCATGGTAAAATACTCATGTTCTGCGCACTAAAACTCAAGCTCCTTGGGAAGGAGTCTGTTTCCTTAAAAAGAGCAGAAACTAACTAGCATCTACAAAGTAACCACATATACCCACCATTTTAAAAAGATGCAACTTCATAAATCAGTATCTTTTGTACAAGTTATAAATTAATAGTTTTTCTGCCTTTTCTGGATATTCTGAAGTCAGTGATATCATCAAGCAAAATGGCAATTACCTACATTAAATATAATAGTAAATTCTGATGAACAGACAGAATATTAGATCTAGCTCAGAGTATCAGACTCTACTACTGATACAACCTATTAAGTGTCAGTTTCCTTAAGAAGACTGGGCTTGTTTGGGTATGGTTTTAATGCCTCAATTTCATTACCAACTTGTAATTATATAAACATATAAATATCAAGGTTACACACAGATATTTAATGAATTCCGAATTCTTTAAACAGTCCTAAGAAATATTTTATTCTCTGGGGCAGTCAGTTTTACAGAGTCATCTCAAGCTCCTACCTTTACAATTTTATTAGATTCAGTTTTTTAAAAAAGTCCTTGTGAAGTATAGTCTAAAAACAGAACAAAACCTCAAAGATACTAAATTTAAATATACACATTAAATCTGAACCATATTCCAAAGTCTCATTTCCAATTCTGCCAGTAAATTTAAATTTTTACAAATTTAAAATGACTGATCAAATCTGAAAAATAAAAGATGACTTGATTAAATTTCTGCACTACTGGACACTGTGTTTCTCTAGCATTCCTAATGCTCATACTAATGTGGATCAATGTGGTTTCTGGTTTATGACTAACCACAGTAAGTGAAACTAATGAAATGATGTGATATGACCAGACATGCAATTCCCACATGTAGCATGTCAGTGTAGTTGATTAAACCCATGAATCATTAAACAAAAAGACTTTTAACTGCATGCAGTTAAGGAAGTCTTCTATTAATTATTTACATATGCCCTCTTTAGAAAACACTACCAGCATATCATATTAATCTTTCTTCAACATGAGTCCCTTTTTTTTTGAGACCTTTTTCATCTTTTTTGAGACAGAGTCTCATCTCATGCATCCCAGGGTAGGCCCTAACTCACTACTATATAGCTGAGGAACCTTGAACTTTTGGCATTCACAATCCCTCCACTGTAACAGCTCTTAAACTGGAATCCATGGAGCATCTTCAGAGGTTCAGTAAACCCACTAAAATGTATGTAAAATCATGACATCTGGATATTTGAGGGAAGATCCAAATGGTTTAGAACCATTCTAGTGTTTTGAAAATCAAGCATTAACATATACATTGCAGAATAACTCTCCTTAGTTCTAACTTGTTATGTCTTCAAATCTTAATTATTGAGCTTTTCTCTCATAACATTTACTAGATGAAATTAGAAGGGCCCATCTACTTGTGCATATTTCATACTTCAATGCAAACCGCCTAAAGGCAGAACTGAGCCTTGTACATAATTGCTTTGCCATTTTCTGCAAATAGTTTTTCACCCCTAAATAATTAGAGATAAACATAAAGTTACCTACATTTTAAAAAATTTGGCTACAAAATATTATTTTATTAGTTACAAATATTAAGTGGGCCAATGCTTACAAAGAATTTGCACTGAAATCAATATAGTCTTAAGATAGTAGTCTTCTGTATAAAAACTTTTCTCAGTAAGGTACAAAATTCATGAAAGTTAACATAGGATTTCTAGTATATTAATTAGGTGAATTGTGTAAGCTGGGCCAAGCCTGTAATATATCCTTCAACTTTCTGTATGTAGTCACATGACCCCATCTATAGTAATCCATTTACAAGGCCATGACCTATGCTCTATTCTAACCTGGGCACAAATTTACTGAGGAGGTAAAAGTGTTCCCAACACAAAATTTATTTTAATTTAAGTACCACTTGTAATTAGAAATTCAAAACAGAAAAATGGGGAAAAAATCTTAAGTTGTGTAATAAATGTTAAAGTCTATCACACAACAGAACCATTTTGAAATACTTATTTCAAAACATTACCTTCCAATTATTAAGGCAAACAAACACTAAAATAAATGAGTCAACATACAATGCAAACATCAAAACTTAAGCAGCATAATAATTGGAAGAAGCCTTACTTTTAATTATGACATGATTTAAAGTAAAGCAAATGAAACAATTTAAATGAAAATTGTGATACCAGTTTATTATAGAAAACACTATTCAATAGTAGATATATTTTATCTTAAACTCAAATTATTAGAACACTTGCTCCTACATTTCCCACTAAAAACATAAACAGTAAAATGTTTCTAATTTTAATAACATTTATTCATTCTAGAAGAGGCAAAAGGAAGAAAACATTTAAAACCTTAAAGAAGAAAAAGGGCTACGTCTACCTCCTATTCTATAAAGTTCTTAAATCAGCACCAAATCTTTCCATCAAGAGACTAACTAAATGTTGGGATTTTCGATGAGTAATCTGTCTTTCATTCTGCTCTTGAAATTATAATATTTGTATTGGGATAAATAAAAATCCTAAGCCTATATACCAAGATTATGTTTTTAATTCCAGGAGAATCATATCACAGTCTCACATAAACAATCCAAGTTACACGTTTATACCTTAGTTATTAAAAAAATATTTACTAGGTTAAAAGCAAATGACAGTATTTTACCTTTATTAATGACGTTACAACAATAGCTCCAGCATTTACCATAGGATTATGTGGTTTATCTGTAAAATATAAAAGCAACAGCATTATTTGAAATACTTGGTACCACATTATGTGATGCAGAGGTACTTTCTGCAGGGAGAATTCTTTGAAGTAAGCTACATAGTTGTTCACATATAGAATTCTGCTCTAAAAGCCATATAGTAAAACAAGGATTTATCCAAGAGTCTGTAAGAACGTGTTAATAACACATACAGCATTTAGTCTCAGCATTCTGGAGGCAATGGTGTACTTGAAGACCAGCCTGGTCTACATAGTGAGACCCAGTCTCAAAAAACAAAAACAAACAAACAAAATAACCAAAACAACCCACATCCAAATTTCCTAACTTTGTCATTTACTATGTGACCCTAGGCAAGAACAACTTCACTGTTTCCATATAACCTCTGAAAATGCACATCTGGTGTTAGTCCCAATTTATGCATGTAAGTATGCCCATGCGATGCAATGTCCACAAAGGTCATAAGGCGGTGTCGCATTCCCTAGAACTGCTGCTATGGTCAATTGGTAGCCTCAGTGTGGGTGCTGGAAATTGAACCTGGGTCCTCTTCAAGAGCAGCCAGTGCTCTTAATTGCTGAGCCATCTCTCCAGGCCCCAACTACAGGTTTTAAATTGTAGTCTCTCCTTTCTATATTTAAATCAGTAGGTTTCATTATGACATCTTCACATTTTGTTCATATCATACTTTGCTCATCTTCACCCTGTTACCTCTTGGTCTCCCTTCGTCTTCCCACAGATCTCTCCACACAGAGTACCCCCTTTACTCTCATGGCTATTTTTTAAAAAAATCTAGATCTGTCAAAGAGAAAATGTGTGATTTTTAAATGTGATTCAGAAGTAAGCCTTTTAAATTTGTACCTTTTAGGATCCAGCAATCCCCTATCTGGGTACACATATGCAAAATAAACAAAAACATCACAGTGAAGACATAATTATTCTTTTTTGGTCTTTTTGAGACAGGGTCTCCCTATGTAGCCCCAGCTGTCCTGGAACTCACTATGTAGACCAGGCATTCTTTTAATTCACTGTAGCATTATTTACCACAGCTAAGACATGAAACCATCATGTGTTTACCAGTGAATGAATGAATAAGGAAAATGAGGCATACATATAAGTGAATACTATTCAGTCTTAAAAAAAGAAGGAACTATTTTATTTACATAACATGGATAAACCCAAAGGATATTATAAATAGTAAGCCAGGTACAGAAAAGCACAGAAAAATACATGATCTCATTTTTACGTAGAATCTAAAAATGTTGAGCTCAAAGAAGCAGAGAGCAGAATAGTTACTAGGGCTGTAAAGGCAGTGGAGATTAAGGGAACCTATGTAAAGGTAGAGGGAGAGAACCAACTCCACAAGTTGCCCTTCTGACCTCTGCATGTACAGTAGCACGTATACCCCTGCCCACACACACATATCCTACACACACAATAAATTTTTAAAATGGTTGAATGTTCGTTTGTGCACCACATGTGTGCAGTGCCCATAGAAACCAGAACAGAGCATCGGAACCCTTGGACTGAAGTGTACAGATGGTTGTAAGCTATCACATGGATGTTAAAAACTAAATTTAGGTTCTTGGCTTTAAGTGCTCTAACCACTGAGCCTATTTAAAAAAAAATAAGTCTTCCAAAGGAGAATTTCCAAAATTGACATCTCCATAAAGTCACTTGTTTCCTCATTTATAGTAATAGAAAGTTTCAGCCAAGTCCAACCATAAAACAAAAATTCTTTATATTGTAAATACTTTAAAAGTACTGTAAGCAAAGAGTAATTACCACTGTTATCTATTCATTATTCATATTAATCTTAACTTATTATCATAATCTTATATAGTTGGGATGGATTTAACCCTATAATGCTGAATATACAGACAAAAACACATTTACTTACCATATGGTTTCACTATAATGCTACTTATGAAATTTAAATGTGAAAAAAATGCTTTAAATTTTTTTGTTGGAGCTGGTCTAACCCGACTCAAGAGCAGAATCCTTTCAGATTCAGGAAGGAGTGGATAATGAGGCCTTTATTTTATCACTCCTTCCAAGATTGTTGGTATTGACTCAAGTTCAGAAAAATTCTAAGACTACTAGGGTGAAATCTCGTTAATCTTTGTATTTCTGTTTTGATTATAAACCAGCAATAAAATCCTGAGTTCTTATCACAATTATTTTCTTACACAAACCACAATATCAATAAATCATACTATTTAAAACCATACATGAAATGCCAAAACTTTTTATGTTAAGTTCATTTACCCTAAACCACATTTTACCTTTGTTTCAAAAATACTTCTAATATCTAATATTCAAATTCCCACTCTTGCATCCTTAAATATCTTCCTCCAAATAAATCAATTATTCAAAATCACCCATATTATTCATTTGCTTTTCAAAAGTACTGATTTTTTAAATAAAATGTTTAGTTAGAACAACAGAATTATTATTGAATTCTTTCAATAATAAACTTGGATGTCAATGAACTTAATAAACAAGTAATTTCTGAATATGATATCCTTAATTAACTTGTCAATGTATGCTAACCTCCAAAAAGCAGCACTTTTAAAAAGGTTATGGTAAAATACAGAAGAAAATAAACTTGTTCTAAAATATACAGGAAGGAAAGATTGAGAATGTATCAGTCATAACTCATTTAAGGAACTAATAAAACATTTCGTTTATTTGTCAGAAAGAAGACAACATGAAGTTTCATTGCTTACAACCATTATCTCAACCTTCACTTATTTCCTTCAATCCTGTATCTGAAATAATCAGGAGTCCTGCACATACAAGATAAAAAACAGAAGGCAAGGGGCTAAAGAGATGGCTCAGAGGTTAAGGGCCCTTACTGTTCTTGGAGAGGACCCAGGTTCAGGTCCCAGCATTCACATGGCAACTCACGACTGCCTATTAACTCCAGTTCCAGGGAATCTGACACCACTGTCTGCCCTGGACAGACTCCCACACACACATACTTAGGCAGGATAACACACACACACACACACACACACACACACACACACACACACACACGCACGCACGCACACGCACGCACGCACACATTTTAAACAATAAATCTTAGAAAGGGGCTGGAGCATACTAGGTGATCTTGCAGAGGACCCAGGTTGAGTTCCCAGCACCCATATGGCAGCTAACAACTCTAGTTCCAGGGTATACAATGACTTCTTCTGGCCTTTGAGGACATTGCACTTACATAAATGCAGGCAAAACACTCATACACATAACAAAAACATTCAACCTACAAAAATGAAGCCAAACCTACTCAGCATCTGCTACATGTGGCTCAGATCTAAAATCTATCAGACCAAAGTACTACCTCTGTCTTCCTTCTTCTTTGAATTACTATAAAGTAGTAAGACTTGTAAGTTATTTGATATGAGGTATTTCTCCAAAAAGTAAATGCTATGAAGGAGAAACCACAAAGTCACATAAAAACAATCCCATTCAGAATCTCAAAGATCTAAGTAGCATTAAACCTATAGTATATGAACAAAATGCACCCTCAAATTTATATCCCTAGTCCAGTACAGAACTTATGAAAACAATATAAACACCCATTTACCATATATAAATATGGTAAAATAGAAACATCAGTCCCTACTGGAATTTGCTCCATGAGATAACGGCATGCCATCACATTTCTTTTTTTCCTTTCATAGCACACATTTAATTCAATGAAGTGTGAGTGCTTTATATATTTTACAGACCCAAATGGGGATCAAGGTCTTTAACAAAATAGTCAAGAAGTTGAGCCTAGGTGTTTCACCTTTGCCAAACAATCATTTAACTGAAAACCAACAGTTATAATTATGACTATACCAGCACTCTCAGTTGCTCCCACTGAGTTGTTTTAAACTAAATTCTATACATTTTGAAATTTTGCAAGATTTCCTGATATGTTACTATAATGTGAAATTCTTTTTTTTTTTTTGGTCTTTTTGAGGAGCTCACTATGTAGACCAGGTTGGCCTCAAACTCACAGAGATCTGCTGCCTGCCTCTGCCTCCCAAGTGCTGGGACTAAAAGCATGCGCCACCATGCCCGGCAGAAATTCATTTTTTTAAAGATGGGATTTCATATAGATGACGATGACCTTGAACTCCTGATTTTCCTCCCTCTACCTCCTAGGTGCTAGAATTAAGGGGTACACTGTGCCCAGCTGTTAAAATTCTTATTCCTTGCCCTTGACTCCCTACTCTTCTCTCTAAAGAGAACTCTTAACCTAAAATAACCATTTTTAAAAGTAGGTAATTAAATTACCTCCAAGGATTTACAGAAATTCTATGGAAAAATTTTAAAACTAGATGAAATTTTGTTATCTTCAAAACCAAATTTTCAGTTACTTAGATTTACATAGAAAATGAGACACTTCTTTTTCCAACCAACTTGTAGGTATTCCTTACCATCTTCATTCAAAAACAGTTTGTTGAATCTTAATCCACTTGGCTCTTTCCCAACATAGCGATGCACATACTCAGTTCCAAGATCATTAACAGCAATGGCATATTTCAAAGGTTTTACACAGGATTGAAGACAAAAGGGAACTTTGGTATCTCCAATAGAATGCCTATTAAAAGTAGATATAAAAAATAATTAGTATCAACCAGAAAGCCATTAATTGCATGATTGGACTTTTCCCTTTTTAACATGTTAATTCCAATCTATATTTTCCCATAATTAAACTAAAAATGTTTTTTTCAGTGTTAAAGAATATTAAGGGCTCAAAAGATGACTCAATGGGTAAAGGCAACTGTCACAAAGCCTGACAACTGAGGTTCAATCTCTGGGACCCACATGGTTATAAAGAAAAAACCCAATTTGTCCTCCAAACTCCACAAGTACACTGTGGAAAGGATGCACACGTGTGCCCCCTGCCCCCCACAAACACACACATACATTTAACTTAAGGGTCAAAATGAAGAAAAGAGCCTATAACAAGGGAAAGAAAAATAGACAAGATCTTGAGAAACCGAAGTGCTTATGTTAAGAGTGGGCCTCAGATTCCTTATCTTCAAAATAAATGGGCTAAACTACATGCTTTTTTATTGTAATTTAAGGAAAATTAAGATCAAACTTCACAAATAGATGAAAAATCTTCTAATTTTTATCATAAAAACCTAGCCTAAATTCCAAGTTTATATGACTTGTAGTCTTAAAATTTAGGGCAGGGCTAGGCATGGTGACACATGCCTGTAGTCTCAGCAATCAGGTATAGAACTGTGCTCTGAATGTCAAGCTATGGTCAGATGCCTTCTTCCGAAGCTTGGCTACACTGGCTTACTTTGGATCATCACAAACCTGAGTGTTGCAACTCCCTAAGAAAGGAGGGGCAGGGAGAGTTAGTCACACCTCCAACCAACCAGTAGGTCCTAGTGACACAAGGGGGAGGGAACAAGGGTACCTAAACTGAAGAAGCCCAGAGAGATAGTCTCTTGCCATTTTGTGCAGCTGTGAGGAGGTCACATCCACGTGGACCTGGACAGAGACATTCCACTGCAGTCTTAGAGGGGAGCACCCACACACTTGTTAAGTAAATCCTCACTCACTGCTCTGTAAGTAACTGGTTTCCAAGACTACAGTTTGGAGAAATTAGACGTCAGTTTGCTGTAGGAACCAAAGGACTAGGGAGGTTGGACATTGTTTAAGCCTCCCAGAAGGAATTTTAGCAACACAGGCAGAAGAATGAAGGTACCAAGTTGAAGCCAGCCTGGGCTACAAAGTAAGTTCTAGACCAGCCTGGGCTATATGTCTCAAACTGGAAAAAAATTAAAAAAATTTTTTGAGACAGGATCTCTCTGTAGCCCCAGCTGGCCTGGAAATCACTATGAAGACCAGGTTGGTCTTGATCTTACAGAGGTCCACCTGCTTCTGTCTTCCAAAGTTGGGGTTTAAGGCATACACCACAATGCCAGGCTGTTTTCTTTTTAAAAAATTTTTTTTAAAACACAGTAAATTGGTAACTGAAGAGATGTCACAGCAGTTAAGAGCACTTGATACTCTTGCAAGTGAACCAGGTTTGGTTCCTCCAGCACCTAAATGGAAGCTCACAAACATTGGTAACTCCAGTTCCAGGGTATTCAATGCCCTCTCTGGCTTCCATGGGCACTACACACATAAGGGCATTTACATTTAGGCAAAAAATAAGTAAAAATATAGAAGTCAAAAAAATTTTTCTTTTTTTAAAGAGTAAAATTATATCTCTGATATAAATTCATCAAGCTGTATATATAATACAGACCATATATGTTTAAGTTGTATTTCATTTTAAATGAGTAATTATTTTTAAAAATTTACATTTCTCAGCTAAGTCTTTCAGTGGGAAAACACTGAGTTTTCTTCACAGCATAATTTTTCTGACATAACCAAACTAGAACATAATAAATCTTAATGTCTGATTTTTCAACACAATAAAAATGCCTGCCTTTTTTGCCTGTGAACTTGTGAGAAATGTGTGAGTGTGTGTGTGTGTGTGTGTGTGTGTGTGTGTGTGTGTGTGTGTGTGTACTTGTTGGGATGCAAGTAGGTAGATGTGTTGAGGCCAGAGGCTGACATCAAGTGTCATTGTCCATTGCTCTCTACTTTATTGAGGCAGGGTCTCTTGCTGAACATGAGTTTGCTAATTCCATTTAGTCTGGCTTTTGTCCCAGGGCGTTGTTTCTATATCCCAAAGTACTGGGATTACAGAGTGCCCGACATTTGCACTTTATAAGGTGAGCAATCTCCCTGGCCCAAAAGGATCATTCTTAGAAAAAAAAATCCAGCATTTAGGTGTCTCTGAATTTGATTTTGAAAGTACCTTACCTTTTTAAAGTATCTTATCTCATCATATAACTATCTTTCATTCTGAAAGAACCCTCATATTAGCAGGCATACCTAAAATATGAACATTTCTCAAAAAATAGCTTCCATGGACTTAATAAAATCTGTATGATTTGAATTGACTTTCACTATGCAAATTACTGATGGATAATATGATAGGTTATACTGCATGGTTTTAATTTTTACGGTAATTATATCAGAAACATGAAGAACAAAAACAGTAGTAAGAACCACCAATAATGGTCTGAAAATGAAGACTAATTTTATTAGTGGTCAGTTCATTAGAGAATCACATTACATTCTGACATGACTACTTTTCTTAAATATGTAAGGTACTTGAAAAATTGAGTAAAATTCAACAAGACTACAAAGATGACTGAGGATAACTGGCATGGTGGCACACCTGTAATTCTAGCATTTGGGAGGTGAATACAGGAGAACCAAGAAGTCAAGGCCAGTCTGGATGGAATAAAAAGGGTTATTGCAAACAAACAAACAAACAAAACCTCAAAATAATTTAGTTTCAGCTAGGACTAATTTTCACTTTGAGAGATATCCTATCTCCTGTTTACAGTTATATAAAATTTAAGGCTTAAAGTTGATTTTCAATGATTTGAAATAAACTTACCTTTGCCCATCTACTGTACAAACAGATACACCCCACAAATCAGGACTGAACTTTGCCAGTTGAGGAATATAATCTGCAACCTATCCAAAATATTGGAAAGAAGTTAATAGATACAATATAGGCAATATATTTTCTCTCACCAAATATGTCCTATGTCAACTTAGCCAATGACTATTTTATAGTACTCAAGGAGCTGTTGTCTTTTATAACCACATTTGTAGGAAAACTACAGGCATTAGGACAAACTTGAATGAGGCTGACATTAGAGGATCAGTCTCTATCACTCCCCAGTTCCCAATGCATTCCTTCTTCCTAAAAATGCAGAGAACCTAAAACAAGAACTTAAAGACTACTTTTTTAAAGGAAAAAAGCAAAAACAAAAGAAAATAAATGCTTTTAACACAGAGATTATACAAAATAGCCTCTGGTATTATTTAAAGAACTTGGCTTAGAATACTGAGGATTAGCCCAGTCCCCAAACTGTGCTCTCTAGTACTGAATCACACACCAGCTGCCCCTCATGCCCCAATTTTTTTCTTTAAGACAGGGTCTTCTACAGCATAAGCTGACTACAAATGTGCTTATGCAACAGAGGCTTTCCTTGAACTCTTGATCCTCCTGTATCTACTCCAAAGAGCTGAGATTACAGGAATGCATCATTACATACCTGGCTTTCTCTAGAAATTTTTTTTTAAAACTACAAATATTTCCCTTTATATTAATGGGTATTAGATCTGCAGAAATTCCAAATAAGGCTTTTTTTTAATTATTAAAAATTTAAATCATTTCAGTTTTTTCAAATTTTTTTTTTAAAAAAAAAAACCTCAAACTGGGTTTTTGTTGTTTTTTTTTTTTTCCACTCTATCTAGAATAATCATCAAGAGTTACATAAAAAGTACTAAATCTAGTGGCTTGATTCAAAACTAAATTTCTTAGGAAACAAATTGCAAAGGTTTACTCTCTTCACATCAAATTGATCTGCATTTATTAAGTGGTTGTATTAGGACAATATGCACATCCAAATGTTACCTTTCCTCCAGACTGCTTTTTAGCACTTTCATATAACTCATCGATGTGTGAGGTAAAAGACATAAAGTCAGGAATGACAAACTTTCTTCTAAATGCTTGTGTCAACAGAACAATGTTGCTTTGAACGCATCTGTGGAATATGAGAAGAAAAAAAAGACTGGGTGTCTTCCATTATCAGGACCAGGTATAACAGCACTAGTTAGGAAAATATTTATATTATATTTAAATAAGAGACAAAACTATACAAGTGAATTTCATAACATGCTCTTCATTTTCTTTTCTTCCAGCAGTCTTTCATGTAGTTGCTTAAACTGAACAGATAAAATCAGATATGTCGAAAATTTTGTCAAATACTAAATTTAAATTCTTTGAGATTTAAGTGTTAAAAACAGCATAACATCTGGTTAACAAAAAATTAGGCTTTAAAATATCTCAGATGAAAATCTCACTGCTTTTCTATTTAAGTTAACCTCAAACACCTCTCTCTTAGCTCCTGTAATTCAAAAAAAAGAAATAAAACCTAAACATTCACATTTTAGCATTTTTCTTGAGTAATATTTTGAAAATTTTCTATTTCTAAGTTTAAAAACACTGAAGACAAACAGCAACTTGGTCAGACTCATCAATTTTAAGTGAATATGTGTCAAAATGCTTATAAAATATAAAAATTTAAATTTCTTATAAAAAGGTCTAACACATCACAGAATAAAAACATTTCATTGAAAAAAAATGTTTCACTGATAGAAGCCATTTCAAAGAAACAGTAAGCTAGAACGCTAGCAACTTGAACCAATATTCTACTTTCTTCTGAAAAGGATTTAAGCCAGAAAACTAATATGTTAATGTAAACTTGAAGAATTCTATGAATTGGGGCTGGAGAGATGGCTCATCAGTTAAGAACACTGGCTGCTCTTGCAAAAGATCCAGGTTCAGTTCCCAGCATCCACAAGGCGGCTAACAACCATCTGTAAGTCCAGTTCCAGGGGATCCAATGCCCTCTTTCTGACCTTCACAGGCATTGCATGACATGGATGTTCTTCCATATATGCAGGCAATACACTCATACATGTAAAATGAAAAAAAAAAATTTTTTTTGAAGAATTCTGTGAATGGATTTCTGTCAATTTTATACTTGGCTTACGACTATCTTAAGACTTCTGTGTATCAGTTAACTGCGTCACAGAATATTTATGGCAAAAGATGACTTGCTACACATGGACATCAAGAAATAATGCCAACTATAAGAAGTTAGGCCCTTAATAAATTTTAAAAAATCTAATGTTGAAATGTTAAGTCAAACCATCAACATGTAACACTATATTAACATGCTTTGAAGGAGAGAAAAACAACCCACAACTTTTAAAAACAGTAGCTACTAAGTTAACACATTATCTTGTTTAAGCTTACAAATATCAATACTTTGTGAAGCATTTCCCCACTTCTCAGATAATCGAATGAGATAAGAAGTTGAGTAATGCACTGATAGTTTTAATATTCAATTTTTCAAATCTCAAGCAGCTAAAATTCAACTTGCAAATATCAAAGTTGCAAGAGAAATATATCAAAGGATACCTTTTCTCAAACAAAAATGCTTAAGATAATTCCTGAGCTTGAATTATTACTTTAAATTAAACATACTTCCTCATTTTTAAGACAATTAAAAAAGTGAGAAATGCCAAACAAATTTCAAGTATCAATCCACTACTATTTTAAATGTCTTAAAAGTAGTCAGCATTTTTAAAAAGAGGATTTATAATCACCCAAATTGTACAGAGAACTTTGGGTTTGATACTTTTTGTTTTTTAGCAAATGTTAGCAAACAATAGCCTTATATGGTTAAGTCATGACAAAGACTACTTCAGTCCTTAGAAGAGAGTCCAACTGCACATCGGTGAGTGTTCAAATAGTAAAGTTTTTCTTGGAAATTATTCTAATACAGGTATCATCAGTTTAATTAGGAAATTAGAAGTTATTTAAGATGAACTCTAAATAGGTGCTTTTGCATTTCAGCAGGTAACATCTTTCTCTGTGCTTTAAACAGCTGTGTTATTTGTAAACTGGAAATAATCATATTCTTTCTTTACAACTACAATGTATGCAAATGTTTCACAAAATATTTCACATATGTAATTTTTCACCAGCAAACAGAGCAGATAATTATTTTTAAAAACCAAGTAATAAATGCAAACCATTTACTTTCTCCTAAAAGAAGTCCAAAGAATTATGATCATACATACAATATTCTTGTAGCTAGAGTTAAAAAAGCATGAATGAACAAAGAATTCATTGTTAGCACAAATATTTTCTTCTTCCATTAGTTTTAACGAACAGTAGCATAAAAACAAGACTATATAGATGGTATACATAGGCAGTCTCCAATTTCTAAATAGGTTAGTTATGCTACAAAAAATGTTACAATTCATTTTTCCATGTTAAAAAAGTTATACATAACAGTTAATTCTCTACTACAAAGGCTAAATAAATGCATTTTAAGTAAAATATCTACACTGACTTTGCCAAAACTAGCTGCCTTTATAAATTATTCTCAGAGGAATTAATACTATGTTTTAACATCTCCTCTCCAATAGCATAGAGGTGAGATTTCTTTTTGGCTATCCCAACTAGGCAACTTCTTGTATTTGAAAAGAGACAAGGAAATCACCTTTCCAGTTGGCCTGAAAAGGTTATTAGTCACAAGTTTTGAGTCTCCTCCTTGCAGAAATGAGAAGAATAATCTTATGCCTATAACCTACTCACATAGACTAACGTGTCAGGTTGGGAACCACGTATATTACAATTATAGATTTTTTAAAACTTGAGTTAGTGTTAAAAAGTATAGCATTACCTGTTAATATAATTATCAACAAAATTTTGTGGTAACCAAAATTCTTTGGTTTCGTAACTGGGAATATTTTAATTGTTTTTTTTATCTCATATTGAAACACAAATGTTTATAAAGCACATTTTAAAGTAATACTAAAAGTATAAACAGTGCTTCCACGTAAAATTCCAAGCCCAGTTTCCTATACCTATTATTCACAGATCATCCTCCCATCAGGCAACTATACTCACACATATGCTAAAATGACTCCCCAGAAGGCACCATAAACAAGAGTACTTTGCACAGACAATTCATAAACAAACCCTTACTACAAAGGCAAAAATAAGTTTGGAGGTGAATTCTTTCCCTCAACAAAATAAACAGGTCCTACAGACTCAAAATTCCTAATACCAATTGTACAGAGGGTCCAATAGCTACAGTTGAGTTAACAGAGCCAGGAGCCTCATGGTGAGAAGAATCCAAAATGGGAAGCAGTGCTTCAAAAGCATACCAGAAACTTCAGAGAACCTTAATTACTTATCCCTCCCAGAGACTCCAGGATACTCCCAGGAGACAGCTAGGAAAAAACCCTTCAATCCAAAGAAAAGAAAGGTAATTATATGTACAGACACATAAACTTTAAAAGTAAATGTAGAAATTCCTTGAGTCCACTTCAACTGAAACTTGTGATTTAGTTTTAATTTTATCCAAGTTTCCACTATTATTCTACTATAAGTTAAAATACAATTTGACTCTTTAGAAACTATTGCATGGTCTCTATCAGTGTTAAGTAATCAACAAGAACACAGTAATGAAGATAAATGAGAAACAAATATGCAAATTCAGCAATGTCAATATTCTCATTCAACCAAATCAAGGCTTTAATCTTCAAAGTTGTCTTTAGTTCTTAACTGTTTTTAGAGACATGAAAACAGCCAAAAACCTATTTATTAGTACATCTGAAGAAAAGAGAATCAGGTGATACAAATATGTAAATCTAAGGACTACAGAGCTGTCTGAAGTCCTCTCATTTTATGACTAGCATCTAAATCACTTTATGGGGGAAAAGCTACAGACTAAGCCAAAAAGTTAGCAAAACAGAACAGAGTGTATCCAAATGGAATACAATCTCTAGGCAAGATAAACTGACATACATGGCTAAATTTCATTACAACAGATTTAAAGAAGGTATACTCCTTAGTCCAGTGCATAACAGAACCTTAGCATGTACCCTCACTGTTCTTTCAAACAAATGATATTTACAAATCTCTCTTCAGCTGCACTAAAAGCACTGGTCTTTAAAAACATAATTTTGTTTTAAAAGCAAAATCACCATATAGCATAACAAATCACCATTAAAGGTTTGGCAGAAATTTTTACTTTTTAAAAAGATCTTTGTCTAGCATGACACCATCTGACGTTGTCTGAAGAGTTAATCTTAACATATCCATACACTCTTTCAACCTGGGATCAGATGTTCGCAATCCTGTAGATTTGAGTGCCTGTTTTTAAAAAAATAAGAGTTTGTAAATATAAAGTGTAAATAATGCATATGCTTATTCCAACTATAAGTTTCATTCCTGTACATAAGTTTCTACCCAAGACTTGATCACATATGTGGTATTTGTGTCACTATTACCCACTTTCTGGACAAGTTTCTCACTGTTTCTTTTTCTGTCACTGATTATCTTGAAATGAGCACAATAAAAATTTGAAAACAAAGAGAAACAGTATCAGTCAGAACCTAAATGTCAGATGACCTTTAAGACTATATTTCAAAAATATTAACTGATTTAGTATTATTTTTAAAAGATAGAAAAATACAAAAACTTACTGTAATAAATTTATGAACAGGTATCTTTTCTTGTCCTTCTGCAATTGTATAGAACAGCAAATCTTCCAAGCTAGGCAACAGACCCTGTTTTATTTTACTAAAAGGGAAGGGAAAAAAATTTAATCCTTATGTGATTATTCTAATGGATTAAAGTACATTATTAAATAATCATTATATCAGACTATACCTGAAATGATCTATTCATCAAGACTACAGTCATGATAAACACTGATTTACCAAAACCAAATCAGTAAGTACCATTAGAAACCACATGAAAAAGCAAATTTAAAAAATTCATTAATACATTTTTCAGGTGCTAGAGAAATGGCTCAGAAATTAATAGCACTGGCTGCTCTTATAGGACTGGCATCAGTTCTCAGCACCCACATGGTGTCTATGGTGTCTAAGAAGTGGAGTCCTTAACTCCCATTCCAGGGCATTTAATGCCTTCTTCTGGCCTCCAAGTGTTTGTATGCATGTGATGCACTTAAATACATATAGGCAAAACTCTCATAAAAAAAAAAGTACACAGCTTTCAATGCCAAGTCTTCATTTTTCACACATAACTTCACACATAATTTTAAATCTATGTTCTGCATAAGAGAAAACATGCAATATTTCTAAAGTCTGGCTTATATTATTTAACATAATGATTTCCAGTTGCATCTACTTTCCTATAAATGATTTCATTGTTCTTTACAGCTGCATATTAATTCCACTACATACATACATATTCTTTTTTGTGGTTTTGTTTTTTTGTTTTTCTGAGACAGGGTCTCCCTGTAGCCTCAGATAGCCTGGAACTCCCTATGTAGACCAGACTGGCCTCAATCTCATATAGATCTGTCAGTCTCCGCCTCCTAAATGCTGGGATTAAAGGCATGCACTACCACACCTGGACTCTACGTTTTCTTGATTCAATTGTCTAGGATGGTTCTATTTCCTAGTTTTTGTGAATCGTACAGCAATAAAAAACAAGGATGTGCAAGTATATCTGTAGTATGCTGACTTAGAACCCTTCAGGTATATATACACAGGAATGACAGAGTTGGTTCATATGGTAATATTATTTTCAGTTAAGGAGCCTCCATATTGATTTCCATAGTAGCAACATAAGTTCATATTCCCACTAGCAGTAAACAGCGTTCCTCTTTCCCTAGATCTTTGTTTCCACTTGTTTTCTGAATGATAACTATTCTGACTGAAATGAGATAGAATCTTAGATCTCAATCTCCTATATGATGTGCAGTTGGCTAAGATTTCCCATTCTGTAGGCTCTCTTCACTCTGGTGATTGTTTCCTTTGCTCTACACATTTTTTTATTTTGGTGCAGGGTGAGAGATACAGATACAGTTTCCTTATTCTACATGTGGAAAGTTTTCCCAGTCCTATTTGTTAAAGGTTAATGTCAGTCAGTCTTTGAAATTTTGATTATCAACAGACAGCCAATGCTTTATTTATCTGTTACTGTGGTATCTTCCTATAAACCCCAGTAAAATCAGTAATTACTAATTAATCAGAGTCCAGTAAACATTCAGGTAGGCGTCAACTCTTCGGTTGGTTGGTTACTTTAAAACTGGTGACTGTATCTATACATATTACGAATTAAGTAATACACCTAAATGTGAAATCTGGGAGACAGAAAGCAATTAACTTTTGTATAGTAGTTAAGATCAAGCATACAAGTTCTTGAACCCTAGCTATAATTCTAGCTGTATAACCTTAGGCAAATTAATGATCCTTTCTGTGATTCAGAGAAAGGAGCTAACAGGGCTGTTGTGAAGATCAGCTGAGTCAACACAATCTCCAATACTGCCTAACAGAATGTAAGTACTCAGTACCTATGCTTTTTATTTCTAAAGCAGTGTACATTTACATAAACAAATGAAACCATGATTAATGTAATAAAAAGATGCTCAGATTAACCAAACTTCCAAACAGGAAAGCAATTATCCCTATCTATTGAAAAGCCTTCAAGTAAACAAACTGTAATTTATTTAATGTCTTTTTGGCTCAGAAACTGAAAACATACTTCAACAGTCTAATAATGATAAGAATCACAGGTTTTAGGAGGGCATGGTAATTCATGCTTGCCATGCCAGCACTGAGAGGCTAGGGCAAGAAGATATTCCTCAATTCAAGGCCAGCCTGGGGTATACAATGAGTTCTAGGCTGGGCTACAATATTAGACACTGTCTCAAAACAAATACAAATTCAATCTCCTCCCCATCTATCATGATTCATTAAAATACATGGGGAAATATATACATATTTATCTTTATTTCAAGAAAGTATGAAATAGAATACACATTCTTAAATGTAGTCAATTCTACACTGGTCATAAGTATAATGGCAACTTCCGTGGGAAAATTATGTACATTACTCTTGTTTGAAGAACTAGCTGAGAAAGACTGGGCATGATGGCACATGCCTTTAGTCCCAGCACTTGGGAGGCAGAGGCAGGCACCTGGTCTACATAGTGAGTTCCAGGCCAGCTGGAGTTACAGGGAGACCCTGTCTCAAAATGACTTAAAAAACAAACAAACAAAAAAACCCCTAATCATGTTTCTATAGTATTCATTACCTAGTCTAAATAATTCCTAGTTAACAATTGTGTAACAACCATTGGTAACTCCAGTTCCAGGAGATCTGACACCTTCTTCTGTCTTCCATGGGTACTGCACGACTCAGGTGCACTTATATACATGCAGGCATAACACTCATACACATAAAATAAAAATAAATTTTTAAAAATTTAAAGACAATAAAATAGGTTTACAAAGCACATACATTTATACATAAAAATTTTCCTTAAAAAGCACACAAATCTTAGCAGTAATATAATTTACATTTGTTTTCAGAGCACTGTTGCACCTTTAAGGTTCTTTTAAACATTTAGTTATGTGTCTATGATGTTTGTGTGTAAGTACAGGTATGCACGTGCTGTGGAGGTCAAAGGACAACTCTGATTAGTCAGTTCTCTCCTTCTATCATGGGTTCCAAGGACTGAACTGAAGCTGTTGGGTTTAGGTGGCAAGCACTTTTATCAGTTGAGCCATCTGAGCAGCCTCAACCTTTAGTTTTTAGAAAGAACCAAAAAAAAAAAAAAAAACCCCAAAAAAATCCATAAAATACAATTATTTCACACTAGTATCCTTTAAAAATTAACCATAGGACTATCATTTTAAAATTGAGACAATTTTGATCTTAGATAATTTTGATCTCAAAATTTAAAAATTTTATTTTATGTGTATGAGTGAGTGTATTGCCTGTATGTGTGTACGTGCACCCATGTTGTGCAAGGCCCATGGAGGCCAGAAGAGGGCACCAGAAACTCTGGAACCGGAGAACAGACTGTTGTTAGTCATCATGTGGGTGCTGGGAATCAACTCAGGTCCTCTACAGAGCAACCAATGCTCTTAACCACTGAGCCATCTCTCCACCCCTTAGACAACTTTTAAAACAGTATTTTAATAGCTGAAACTTACTGATTACTTATATACTGTGCTAAGAATTTTACATGCATTCTAAGCCTCTAATGATCTGACAACAGAAATACAATACTTTCAAAATACAGCTGTTTCTGGTACATCAAACTCAACTGTATTACTTGATGACAAAAATAAGTAGCACTGTCTCCATTTCACAGTGGAGAAATATAAGCTCAGAAAGGTTAGGAAACTTTCCAAGGCTGCACGACAGCATAAATGAATTTTGAATACGTTTCTCTGAATCCAGATTCAAACTATTCAACACTGGTTCTTTAGCTTACTACCTAGTTACTACTTTTACAAGGTACAAACAAGTTTTCTAGGTCTTATCCTGTTCTAATCGCATTAAACAAGAGTCCAACAATACTGATGACCCAATAGTTAAAGAAAAATTGAACCAGCTATCAAAATCGGTAGATAATAACATACCAATTATTTACAGAAAATGGCTTGTCAAATAAAACTTTAGATAATGGTGGCTTATCATTTTAAAAACTGCAGAATAAGCTTTTACTATTTATCATACCAGCAAATGGTATTGACTCTGCCTAAAAGCTAAGTAAATAACATGAAACATACACTTCTTTCTCTTATGGTACATAGTGAAAAAAATAATTAAATGACCCTGTTATTGCAATAGCTGGCAAAAGTGAGTAAATATTACTTAAGAATCTAATTTTTATTCATGGGAGAAAAATCTTAGGTCACGCCTAACCTACATGATCATAAAATAAATTGTCAAGATTGATGGAAACAAATTACTACTTTGAAGGTGGATACAGTGGTTCATACCTATATCCTTGCACTCAGAAAGCTGAAGCAGAGGATTCCAAGTTCAAGGCCAGTCAGGGCTAAAGAGCAAGTCCCTGCCTCCAAAAATACAAATAAATAAACCAAAATACACATACACAATGAAATTACTATAGCTTGAATAGGATCACATCAAAAATCTTTCTTGCCTTATTTCGTTTCACAAATTAATGCCTTTATGTCATCAAAACAATGTATTGTTATTAGAATTCAAAAGCTAAAATCCATATTTTTAGAAACTGTGTACTATTTAGGAAATCTCTTAATTTTTAAATAAATTATATTAAGCCTCTTTTTAAAATATTTTTATTTTTTAATGTGTATGAATGTTATGCCTGCATGTAGGTAAGTGCACCCTTGTTGTGCAATGCCCACAGAGGACAGAAGAAACTGTCGGATCCCCTGGAGTTTCGGACAGTTGTTAGCTGCCATGTGGATGCTGGGATTTGAACCCGGGTCTTCTACAGGAAGTCAGTGTTCTTAACTGCTGAGCCATCTCTCCAGCCCCTATATTAAGCTTCTAAATCATGGTAATTTCTGATAAATCCAAGTAAGTCCTCCAGATTCCATTTATACCATAAAGTGGTTGATATCAAATAAAACTGCTTATGCATAAAATAAGTAAATCCCAAAGGGGGGAAAAAATCCTTGTTTTACACCTCTTTATGCTTCACAAGTTTTATTGTTTCTTTTCTAATTTCTTCCTTTTAGATCCTTCACTACCATATTATTCCTTCTTTTCCTTATTTTTCCAGAGTACTGGGGAAAAAAATGTGGAAGGCTAGAGGCAGGAAAG